CACCAGCTGACATCCACTGCCTCGGCCAAAGTGGCGTCTCTCGACAAGAAAATCGGATTCACAGAGAAGATACACACCGGCACAGCTGTTGTGAGCGACAAAGTCAGAGAAGTTGACCAAAAATTCCAGGTGACAGAGAAAACCAAATCAGCGATCTCGGCGGCAGAGCAGACAGTAAGCAATGCAGGCTCAGCCATAATGAAGAACCGATATGTCCTGACAGGGGCGACGTGGGTGACAGGTGCTTTCAACAAAGTGGCTAAAGCGGCGGAAGAAGTGGGGCAGAAGGCGAAAGAGAAGGTGGGTGTGGCTGAGGAAGAAGAGAAGAGGAAAGTGGTCGATGAGTTTGCCAGAGTTCATCTGTCTGAATCTCCAAAGGCCTCAGACCACAAATCACATTCGTCTGATTCTCCCAAAGAAAAGACAGAACATGAAGAGCTGCAACAGCCTTCTCCTCAGCCGGCGGCTCCATCTCAGCCCTGAGACCTTTTAACTGTAAAGAGTTTGTTTAATCTTCCTGGAATGTTTGGAAATTAAGATGAGTTTAGGACAAGGGTTTATAGGTTCTGGCAACAACATCCGAATTCATGCTCGCCTGGGTTTGTGTTAAAACTTCTTTCTCTTTTGTTTTCTTCTTGTAAACTTCATGTTGTTTCACTCTTTTCTTAAAATGTTGAACAAGGAGTTTCGTTTTATGTATAAACACACCAATTATGATATAATGTACTTAACCACCATGAGTTGTTTTTCAAATTCAAGTTCTGTAACATCAAACCTGAAGATTTCCTACTTTAGAAATTCGGAAGAGTGGCCATTCATGACAAATTAAAACACTAAATACCCAAATCAATGATAATGATGACGATGATTTTCCTCCACGTCACAATCTTATCTGACAATTTATGTTTATATATTTTGTCTTCATGCATTGTATGAAATCCAAATATCTCCTATATATGAAACCTCAAATTCTTAGTATGTCAAGAAAGTTTACGTATAAAATCTTACTTAGCATACATAGAGACGATAAATTTGGTATATAGAGGAATAAATGAAGAAATCTTATACCAATAACCAAAAAAAAAAACTAATCATTCTTATCTTTTCCTAATGTTTTGTTATTTTAGTTGTTTTTTTCTATTGAATTCTTGATCTGTGTTCATCACATGTGGCATATGGCTATTTTGAGAATATTATGGTTTATATGGTTATAAAAAAATTAATTATGATAAATCTTGACCAATCAATTATGTTTAATTTAGAATATCATACTTTCCTTAACAATCTAAAGAGTGCTATATAAATATACAAGGGACCGGATACTTTTATATAATTAATTGAGAATAAACAAGAGGGGAAAAAAATGAAGACAACTTTCTTCATCGCTGCTTTGCTGATTTTATCATGTGAGCATACATTTCAATTATCTACTCTCTTTATGTTGTACTAGTATGCACCAATATATATATATATATATATATATATATATATACATATTTTTTGTGTCTGTATCGACGGCATACATATGTAAAAACAATGGTACAGGACGATATAGCCGCAAATATATGAAATGGACACATGAAATAAGTGAATATATAGATATATATGTTATATTTAAGCCTAATGCGACAAAACTTCATGATCAATGTGTGTAATTATTTAAGAGCAAATAGGAAAACCATGAAAGTCGATCGAATAATTAGTGATATATATATATATATATATATATATGTATATATGTATATGTTGACATGTGTTGATGAGATGGGATGAATGGTAGGCTCGACCGTGATGATGGGAACGGAAGCAAGACCATGGGAAACGCCATGCCATGACTATACGGACTGTGATAAGGCCAATGTGTGCACGATCTATCCCGCGAGGTGTGTCCAAGGCATCTGCATCTGTGCTCCTCCTCTCGATAACCATCTTAAAGTCTAACCTATTCCCTTTAAAATCCAATCCACACTATCGTATGTATATCGCGAAATAAAATGGCCCACTGATATGGTAATAAAAATATTAATGTTCTATCCAATTAATACACATATGATATAGTTTTTAAAAGAATTGTGTTTTGGTGTTTTCCTTGACACGATTGATCTACGTGTTCTCTTATCTTTTCACAAAGTTGTGTGATCATTGCACTTGGACATATGCATAATAGATTGCTATTTTCACTCGATATCTAAACGTGTGAATCTTCTAATATGATTTGAGAGTTTCTGAATTTGATGATAATTCAAACATATACGATATTCACCAACAAAGATATTATTGCAAAAGATATAATATAACTAAAGATTGTCCTTTTGTAAATTTTGGTTCACACATGATATTATATTGTCTATATATCATCACCCGATTTCGAACCCATCTTAGACTAAACTTTACAAAAAAAAAACAATTAGCTTATTTACATGAATGGTGTTCAAATGAAATTACAAAAAAAAAGTCTCTCTGATATTAATCTATTTACCGAGGTTATATGTGATGATATAATATCATATATAATATAATATCATAATTGAATTAACATATGCGATGATATATGTTTTTATTATAAAGATGACATATATCTCCAATATCAAAAGTCAATAAATCATATTCCATCCGTTTCAAAATAATTGTTGTTTTAGTTTATTTCACATTTTTTTAAGAAAAGAGAGAAAAAGTCATATATACCCTTATTTAATGATAAAAAAATGTTATCATTAATAATTTATTAGAATTTAATAGGGATAAAATTGGAAACCATTGTAAAAAATGTAAATATTTTGAAACATGGAAAATAACTTAAAACTACAAATATTTTGAAACGGAGAGAAATCAGATATATTCAAATAAATATATTAATGTTCGCATTTATTTCCTTTAAGAGCAAGGGAAAAATAACTTAAAACTACTAATATTTTGAAACGGAGAAAAATCAGAGATATTCGAATAAATATATTAATGTTCGCATTTATTTCCTTCAAGAGCAAGGGAATTAACACGTGCTTCGTCCAATACAACCTTTTTTGTGGTCCGCTTTGTCATCTACTGCTACATGTAAAATTGATGTCATTCATCTGTATCGTAGAAAACCATGGTTAGCATTATTATATAAGTAATCTTTTTTTGTCTTGAAGTTATTAAATATGTAATCTATCATAATTAAATTATGCCAACTTAAGTTTATAAAGATATAGTTTTTTTTCCCAGAAATTTGTTTTATCTCAAAAGTTCAAAAGATAACAAAAAAAAAGTCAATAAATAATAGCTGTCTTAATTTAGAGATACTCAAATAAATATATTCATATTGAGATTTATTTCCTAGAAAGACCTCAAAATTACCATATATATATACACACAACATCCCTCTTCGACTCCGTAATATGGTCACACAAAAACAATAGCATTAGGAGAAAACTAGATAAGAAAATAAGGATGGGTTCATTCAAGACAACATTTTTCTTGGTCCTCTTCGCCACCTCGGCCTTATGTGAGTCCCAATCTCTCATATCGTATCTCCTTACTTGTTTGGGGTGTGTGTGTATGTATATATCAATCAAATGAATCATTTTTGGTAAAATGGAAAGGGATCAGTCCTTTTTTGCAAAAATAAATCATCTACATAGAGAACAATTACACTTATTTCCAAATTCAAAATTTTACATTCAATGAATATAATCCAAAACAAGATCAATGATTAACTCATATATATATATATATATATATGGTTGTGGGTTTCAAATGAAGGTTTTACAAAGTCGGAGGGAAAATGCCACAGAGACTCGGAATGTGCGAACGCGCAGCCGTGCCCGGTTCGGATGGCTTGTCTCTTCGGCACATGCATCTGTCCCTTCCAACCTCAGGAACTCTCCTCCGGCCAATCGCAACGCGAGAGAGAGGGCAAAAATGTCATTACCCCTCCCGGCGCTAATTGATTGCCGGAGCTTCGACTTCTCTCTTGAGATTTGTGCAATAAGTAAAATGTAACCGAAACCCATGGTCATATAAAATAAAACAATGTTTTTTTTAATCGAACTTTGGACAAAATAATAGGAATGGAGAAAATGGATCTTATATATTACGTAATTGATTCAACATTATATGTAGTCAAGGATGAATATGATATAACAAATGATGCACCGACAAATTGCTTTGTTCATTAAACTGCATACAAAAATTATAGTGACATATCCATCTCTATTTCTGTCATATCATGTATATCGTTCTCTCTATCCTTTTGATTTTATTTATTAAATGTGTATAGAGTTGCTACGATGACAATAATAATACTATCGATATTTAAATTATAATTTGATTCGACACATGGATAAATTTCTCTTCCACTCATTTATTCATGTTTTAATACAATCATTTTAATCGAATACAATTTAGGATTTTAAGTTATTCCAATGTTAATATTGTCCCTGTTTCAACTAAATATTAGATTCGACATTTTACCGTATTTTACGAAATGATATCGAATTTAGTATGTTTTTTAAATATTTTATATATATTTTTTTATTATTCTATGTATTAATTCGTAGTTTTGAAAATTATGTTGTCTTTAATGCAATTATCTAAGAAAAGGTGCGTAAAAATTATAGAATACCACTTATTTATGAAACAATAACAAAAATATGTGAAAAAGTGGGTCAAAAAAATGTAAAAAGATTATTATTTTTTACCTAAATAACAGTGTGAAACTATCTAGTTTTGAGACCGCCTTTAATGAAATTATCTCGGAAATCAAAATCATAGAATGACATTTATTATGAAGAAAAAAAACTATATATATATATATATATTTGAGGTGATAATTCACCTGTCATTAACAATGAATCCAAGTAATCAAACAAAATCTTTTAGAGATTTGTGAAGAATAACAATGAATTTATGATTAAGAGATTATTATTTCGACCTAAATAACGGTATAACTTGGTCCACGCCAGTATTTTGAGGTGATAATTCACCTGTCATTAACAATATATTAATGACGACAGATGTTTGTCGGTATTGTAAAATTTAATTTCTATGGTCGGACTCAAGTGGGCCTAAACTCATGAAAGGCCCATCATAAAAACCCATACACTTTTATTTATTTATTTTCAATAAATTAAATATAATTTTCAGATATTTATTAGTCTTTACACATTTCATTGACTGAAATGGACAAACAATGCATTAACGAATAAAACAGCTGGGATCGATGGACGGTTCAGATTGACTTGCTTGACCAATTTTTTGCATGCAAATTCAATCCAATAATATTTTTATATATTGCTTCCCGTTGCCATTTTAATTTCGTATAATCATAATGCCACTTTTTTTTTTTACAGAGTTCTGTGATAAATTGAAACCATTATGAATGATGTCATAAATGAGGGGGAATCCGAGAAGGTGGTGCGTTGCACGCACGCGGAAAGCGCGTGGGGAATGTAGTTTGACTCGGAAGCAAAGTTTGACTTTTGTAGTGTATTGCTTCGGGGAAAACGTTCGCTGGAAAGTCCACGTGGCGAGAGCGCAGTTAACGGGAGAGTTTAGCAGACGTTTCGATCCGTTACATTCCGTCAATCACCGCCGTTTACCCTTCTCGTCCGGTAAGTATTTATTAGCAAAATTTACTCCTCCATTTATTACGAAGAGCAAGAAAAAGAAAATCTAGAGAGAGAAAGCTCCAAATCCCTAGAGAGAGAGAGAGAGAGAGGTATTTGCAGGATCCCTCTTGGCGTTTCTCATTTTCTCGGTAGCCAAACAAGGTGAGGAAAGTAAGAGGAACTGAAGGAAATTGTGATCCTCTCTCTCTCCCCATTTTCTCTGGAAATAAATTTGAAAAAAGGCAAGTAATCGGTTTGAGCGGTTTGCTTCGATTTAAAATATGTTTTTTGTCTAAATGCTTCTTGTTTCTGTCCTATTTTTTGGGGGAATTAAGCTTATATATTGCAATACTCATATATGGAGTCTCTTAACACTCGCAAGAGCGCACACTGCATGAACCCTAATTATCGTCTTTTGTCAATGTCCGTTCATAGAGGAGAGTATCTGCGCCTGTTTTTCTCTCTTTTTTGGAATAAATAAAATGAATGTTTATACGCATTAAATACAGTCATCTGTAACGTTTCTTGTGTCGTTGGCATTATCCGATAGTGAACTGATTTGTCGTCCATTTGGTAATCTTTCGGTTCATTTTCCTACCAGATCCATGTTCTTCCCATTTTTTTCCCTACGTTTCTTGCTTTTTTGTTAGCATTAATTTCAAGAATATTCATCTCTTATTCTCAACTAAAATGGCTACATTTGTTTTACCACTGAAATCTCTAAACATATCAATCACTGATTCTTTCTTTTAATTTTATTTGATTTGATTTTTTCCCTCACTAGGGGTTCATACAGAAACCCTAGCGGACGGAGATCTCGGAATTGTTAGGGTTGTCTAAGACGGAGAATGTACGGAGAGTTGCAAGTGATGCCGACGGTGGGAGGAGGAGGAGGAAATGTGGTGACCACCGACGACCTGTTTGCGTCGCCGTCATCGTCTCCCATCCAAAACCCTAATTTCAACTTCATCCCCTTCAACCCTTTCTGCTCCGTAATCCCGGTTCGTTGGGAAAACCCTAATTATTCCTCCTTAATTAGTTTCTCCTTTTCTTTTTATTTTCTTACACTGTCTGTTTGGTGGTGGTGTTGGTATATATATATATATGTATATAATAAAAACAAAAGAAGGAGGAGAATAACGGGGCGATGATGATGAGGATGATGATGATGGGAAGTAGCAGTGGGAAAGAGGAGAAGTTGGAGAGTGGGTCGGGAAGCGAACATGCAGATGACGACCCCAAATCCATCAACGAACATGACGTCACCACTTCCCAGCTCCATGACCCTCCCTCCAAGAAGAAACGCTATCACCGCCACACTGCTCGACAGATCCAAGAAATGGAAGCGTAAGTCTTGCCGTTTCTCGTTTTATTTACTGTTTAGGGTTCCGCTTTTTTTTATAAACGTAATTTAAGAAATTATATTGACATATATATATATGTAAGTTTTAAAAGTTTTTTCCCTTGGTTGTTGTTAGGCTATTTAAGGAATGTCCGCATCCGGACGACAAACAACGGATGAGACTAAGTCAAGAACTTGGTCTCAAGCCTCGACAAGTCAAGTTTTGGTTCCAAAATAGACGTACTCAAATGAAGGTAAATTATTCGCCCTTTCCCCTCTACTGTTTATTGTTTTGCTTCCTTAATGTTTTACAATTTCAAGAATAATATGATATATAAGAATACTGCGTTCTATCTGTTTCCTAGCTAGTAACGTCTTCCATATACATATCAAATTTGTGTAAACAAAATTAAATTAGAGGAAATCCAACTTTAATTTTAAAAATTCAAGTTACAAATTAAACTTGAGGTTGTATTGTGATGGTAACGGTTGAGTAAGGAGCAGAACCTCATTAAATCTTGGGCCACATTTTGTTTTCGACTTATTAATTTGTAGTACACAACATAAATACAAATATCTATCTATCTATCTGCCCCGAGTATAATATGAAAATACGCCTCTAAATACGAGGGTACATAAATGCATGTATATATTCGTTATTAATTTCTATGTATGTATCCGAAATCAGACCCATTTTACATTTGAATTTGAATGAAATAATTTATGGGAAGATGAAATATAACCAGATTTCCGAATTACATACGAAAACGTTTACTCTGGTCCAATAGAAGAAGTATTATATTATGTTCATTGTTCAATGTTCATAACATAATCCATTAGAAGAAGTATGTGATAGAAAAAAAAAGACAGATTTTGATATGTATATATGACGAGTGGCGTTGTATATACATATATGTTGAGTAGGCACAACAAGACAGGACGGAGAATGTGATGCTAAGGGCAGAAAACGAGAATCTAAAGACAGAGAACTACAGGCTTCAGGCTGAGCTGAGCAGCCTCTCCTGCCCCTCCTGCGGTGGCCCCGTTGTCCTCGGCGACTTCTCCTTCCATGAACTCCGCGTCGAAAACTCTCGCCTCCGTGATGAGGTATATCCATTATTTGTTCATCCTGAAGCCTGTAGGATCGGTAGGATTAACTATTTTTGCTATACTGCAGCTCGATCGACTGTGCTGTATCGCTACGAGATGCACTGGCCGTCCGATCCAATCCGTGCAGACCCCGGTTCAGCCGTCGATGAATCCTCCTCCTCTTCAGCAGCCGCAACAACCTTCGTTGGATCTCGACATGAGCGTGTACCACAGGAACTTTCCGGGGCCTTCTTGTGCGGACATGATGATGCTTCCTCCCCCGGATGGCACGGAATGCTTCTTCCCGGAGAATAACGATCTGTTGCTTGCGGAAGAAGAAAAGGTTATAGCGCTTGATCTCGCTGTCTCCTGTGTGCAAGAGCTTGTGAAAATGTGTAAAACGAATGAGCCTTTGTGGATGAGAAGGAGTTCCGACAAGGTCGGAGAGGAGAGCTTGTGTCTGAACGCAGATGAGTACACGAGGTTGTTCCCATGGCCGTTGGAGGAACATGACAAAGGAGATCTAAAGAGAGAGGCCTCGAGGGCTAACGCAGTGGTCATCATGAACAGTATTACACTCGTGGACTCATTTCTTGATGCTGTAAGTTCAGAAACGTTTCTCTACATTCGAACCAGATGCACTCATGCATATACATGTCTGAATATGTATTTGTAATGTTGTCTGGTTGAAGGATAAGTGGGCAGATATGTTTTGTTCGATCGTGGCACGGGCTAAGACGGTTCAAATTATTTCATCCGGAGTTTCTGGTGAAAGTGGTTCTCTCGTCCTGGTGAGTAACTAGCACAATTTTGTCGGAACGTTAAGTGTATTACAATGAATTCAATCTGGTGACAAGATGATTATCGTTCTCTTATCTGTTGGTTGGTATATCACAAGATGTACGCAGAGTTACAAGTGCTGTCTCCATTGGTTCCGACAAGAGAAGCCTATTTCTTGAGGTATGTGGAGCAAAACGCAGAAGAAGGGTCGTGGACCGTCGTAGATTTTCCGATCGATAGCTTCCACAATAGGATTCAGCCGGTGACTCCTTTCTACAGGAGGAAGCCCTCCGGCTGCCTCATTCAGGACATGCCTAATGGCTACTCCCAGGTGCGTCATATTACAACACGATGTTATGGTTTTCTCCATCCATGGCAGCTAAACTAACAGAGGAGTGAGCGAGTAACCACGGCAGGTGACGTGGGTGGAGCACACGGAGGTGGAGGAGAAGCACGTTCACGAGACGCTGAGAGAGTATATGAAGAGCGGAATGGCCTTTGGGGCTAACCGTTGGCTCAATGTGTTGCGGCGTCAGTGCGAGAGGGTGGCTAGTCTTATGGCTCGAAACATCACTGACCTTGGAGGTATCTTACTTTTGCTTGTTTTCTGACCCTAAACCGTTGTTGAAAAGTCGAAACTTTCAATGTTTTTCCCTGTGGTTTGTGGCAGTGATACCGTCACCTGAGGCGAGGAAGAACTTGATGAGGCTGGCACAGAGGATGATAAGAACATTCTGCGTGAACATAAGCACTTCGTACGGACAGTCATGGACGGCTCTGTCGGAATCAGCCCAAGACACCGTCCGAATCACAACCAGGAAACTGTCTGAACCTGGTCACCCCACCGGCGTTGTTCTCTGCGCCGTCTCCACAACTTGGCTCCCTTTTTCTCACCACCAAGTCTTTGATCTTCTCCGCGATGAACGCTGCCGCTCCCAGGTTATTTACTTTGTTTCTCCTTTCCTCTCTCTCTCTCTTTCACATTCAAATCGTAATGCTTTTTGTGTGTTCCCAACTACAGTTGGAGGTTATGTTCAATGGGAATTCACTTCATGAAGTTGCTCACATCGCCAATGGATCGCATCCCGGGAACTGCATCTCTCTTCTTCGTGTCAACGTAAAGTTTCTTCGTCTCTAAGATTCAGACCTTTTTTACTCTTTAACGAATCTATACATACAAGTCCGCCTATATGCACACACATGCACAGGTGGCGAGCAATTCATCACACAACGTGGAGCTGATGCTGCAAGAGAGCTGCACAGACGAGTCAGGAAGCCTGGTCATATACTCCACCGTCGACGTGGACGCCGTTCAACTCACGATGAGCGGGGAGGATCCCTCCACCATTCCGCTTTTACCCCTCGGTTTCTCCGTGGTCCCCGTCAATCCCTCAGACGCAGACGCAGACGCAGACGCAAACACGGCTTCATGTCTGCTGACAGTGGGGATCCAGGTGCTGGCGAGCAGCGTTCCGACCGCCAAACTGAACATATCAACAGTCACGACCATCAACAACCATCTCTGCTCCACCGTCAAACAGATATCTGAAGCTCTCTCCGCCGCCGCCGCCCCACCACCGAAGCAAGAGGGATGATGAGTTGGCCGTATGTTTTTATGTAGTATTGTTGTGATATTATCATCAAAAAAAAAAAAAAAGGAGAGAGAGGAAGTCAAGAGCGCACCACTTGTGACAGAAAAGGGTAGTTGGTTCGGGCATTGACTTCCTACTTGAGAATCCATCCATCTCCTTCATGTCCTTTCCTTTGGATTTTCTTCGTGTCTTTTAATGTTTCAAGTTTAGTTTAAACAATTGTGAGATTCGCAACTAATTTGGGCCCAAGGTATTCGGCCCAATCAGCCCAAATTATGGCGATGGTTGGCTGGCCCATTGATATTTATCTTCTTCTACGAATTATTCATGGAAAAAACAATATAAATCCGTGTGAACATGGAGTTGCTCAATACAAAACAGAATCTCATGCCGTTTATTCTTTACAAAAGTCATTGTAGTGACTTAAAATCTACACGTTTAATCATTTTTAGATTACTTTTAATAATTTTATATTTTTATATGCAGACGTGTTATTGGAGGTTGGATTCCATAGACGATCGGGACAGGTAAACAAGGAACACGTATTGTAACTGCACAATTTAATACTGCAATGATTACATAATAATATTATAACAACACGAGTTTGGAAAACGCGGACGTCTTTTTAAAAACTATTCGCCAATTGGGTTATTCAAACAAACACACACTAAATTTCCATCTTATTCTTCGATTTATTGTATCTGTACCAACAAGAATCTAATCAAAGCTATAGTGTACAAATAACAAATCTAATATATGACATCTATGTACGTACGTACGGTCAACTCTGCCGCAACCGCAAATTCGACATTAGGCATCTTTAATCTCGGGAATTTAGATATAAATCAATTAAAGATTTCTAATTATATGAAAATAACAATAATTAAAGCGATAATTATAAAATAGTAAATAATGAGACATGTGGTACGGCCGACATGCACGCAGCAGGACATGAGAAACAAAGGGCGCGTTTGTGTGCGGACAGCTTCTTCCCCAAATTCGGCGCCTTATCACCAAAACTTTGTCTGCAAGTGAAGTATCGTATTAGCTGTTGCCACGTGCCCACTTCCTTTTTGTAATAAAATTTTATATTACTATTTTCTCACATTTATTTGTTGTCGGTCAGAAATAGTGTGTGAAATCCGGGAATTTTTGTCGGCTGTTAGAAGTCTAAAGTGTTCGATAATACATGTTGTTTTCACGTCACATTTTTAACGCATAGGATCAAATCCCTTGAGATAACGTCTAAGACATAATTATCTACGATATATACATACAAGTAGATAAAATATCATAAATTGGAATTTACCATACGAATGTATATAGCATTTTCATGATCTGTTATCTATAAAAAAAAAATCAATAATTTTGGGCAGACAATATTTTTTAGCGTAAAGTGGGTAAATTTAATGTTAGGTGAATATGGCCACTATCTCATTCAACTAACATGCCCCCCCAAGCCCGACTTATTCAAATTCCGTATGTTCTTTTTTATTATATATGTACTCTTCTGAAAATCGGGTTCGAGTATCCGTATCTATACTTGACCCGCAATATATATATTTGATTAATTATATATTATGGAAATAAATGAGTAATCATAATATTCGTGTAAAACTTGTAAATACTTTTTTTGTTATGCTACGTTGATTATTGACTGCAAATTTGGCACTATATACATATAAAATTCTAAAAACTGAAGATCAACTGAATAATGTCGTCTATTTAATTAGGATTCTAGAATTGCGTATTACAGTGTAGGCTAGCACATATAGATATAATTGTATGACCATGTTTGCATGTGATTTTTGAGGAACAATATGCATATTTTTATAAATACTAATTAATAGAGTGTACAAATTGTATCGTACAAATGTATTCATGTTAACTTGGGATGGGTTTTGTCAAAGAGTTGACCTTTCGGCGAAACATTATCAAGCATGTCATGGACCCCCGTGTATTGGGGCTCTTAGTCCATGCATACAAAAAAATGGATATTCGTGTTAACTTGGGATGTATATCTGCATCTACAGTGCTTCCATATATGTATTTCATAGATGCAAATTGGGATGGACACTAGAGTTAGTGATTTAGAGCGACTAATCTCCCTTCTATGTACATGCAAACAGACACGTAGGGCATGTAGGGACAGAAGTGGGATGGCGAGAGAGAATAATAATACGAAAAAAAGGTTGCTTTCTAAAGGGATAATGCACATATATATATTATAATCCCAAGTCCAATAATACGAAAAAAAAAAAGAGAGTAGACAACGTAACCTCTTTGTATGATAAGGCTGCAATATCGAATAGTTTATTCCATAGCGGTTTAAATAATATTTTTTACTTTAGGGAATATAGATGACCACTTGCCACATGTCACATGACATGCCAAACAGAATGGGAATAACGAGATCGGAACCAAATATTTAGCCGAAAACAGCAAAAATTAAATGAATTATTGCAATTTAATGTAGAAATATATGACTTTTTTTAAAAATCTTTTTTACATTCCTCGCCGGTTTAAATTTAGACATAAACAGGATTTACTGTGGTTGGTGAACTTGTGCTCGGTTTTCCTATTTATTTTTTGTAATGTTTCAATTAATCCAGTTAAACAGCAAACGTCAACATATTAATTGTATATATGTATACAAATATCTTAATATCTTCAAATATTACACACATGTATATATACACACACGCATGCAAGTAGCTTCGGAACTTCAATAAATGTGAATAACATGGGGGTATTGTTGCATGAATTGACCTATGGACTTTTAAGATACTCAAACAAGTCAATTCCCATTTCAAGTTACTTAACTTCCCATCTATTCGGTGTCCCTAACCCCTTTCTTCTTTTGTTGGTTCCATACATATATATATATATATATATATATATATATATACATATTTCCTTCTTTTACGTTTTTCAATCCTTGTTTTTTTTTTAAAGCAAACAATTGATTGTAAAATCCGAGGTGGCCCAATAAGATTGCATCCTTTGCAAATATACTATTCCTAACCTTTTTTTCCCCTCCTTACATGACATGGAGTCCCACCTCTAGATATGATTATTGTACCTTATATTTTGCACATATGTCATTCAAAAAATGATATTTATGAAAAATATAACCCTATAAACTCAACACAAAAGTTGTTTGAATATATACTTGCCATCAAATCTGCTTTGCGTCTATTTAGATAGGACATGAATTTTATATCAGTGAAACGGAATATAATTCCTTTGTGCTAATTATATATTGTTATTTTATTTTTAAATATTCATACACGTACGAGATGTCTCATACATATGTGCATGATGTTATAAAAGTTTCGTAAGATATCTATAAAGTGTATAACAAAATCCCACTTCGCTACATTTTTTCTGTTATAAATTACAAATAAGAAATAATTCAAAACATCAACATTAGAAAGAAAAAAGAGAAAAAAAAAAAAAACAAATTCGAAGTATGAAAAAAGGGGAGAACCTAACTTCGATTTCGGCATGTTGTGGTCCACAACAATATGGAAGTAATTTCGTGATGGTCCCGGGGGTAGTTTAGACATTTCGAGAAGTTTCCAGAATTCGGCCAAAGAGCCTCGAGCTGGACGGCTGTACTCAGCCTGTTACGCAAATCCACAGTACCTTAAATGCGGCAGTTACCTTGAATCTATCTTAAAAAAATCATCTTATTTTGTCACATTAATTATAAAAACCCAAATTTCAAAAGCCTAATTTGTATCATTGAAAGAAAAAAAAAGAGAACCGGCTAAGCCGAGCCGAATCGGCAGTTTAATAATGGTGAAAAATGGTTGACCGGTGGCATTGAAGCCGAGCCGCAAAACTTTCGTTTTCGCTGACTGCAGATAACCAATCATTACACGCACCAACCTAACCCTCTCCAAAAAAAAAAAAGAAAAAGAAAAGCGAAATCAACAATGGGCCAATGGGATTTCGGGAATTGGCTTTACCGGGCACCGGTGAAACCCGGTTTATTTCACCGCCCACAGTAAACCGAACCGTGAGAAAACCGTAACATTTGCCACGTGGACATTCGGTACAGTGATGTCTCCACGTTTCGACTGCCCGTCGTTTTCGAGTCATATCCGTCACGCTTTTCTCGAACAGTTCGCCCCGCGTCACGTTACTGTGCTCAAATTACTAAACTACCCCTCATCTACGCTTTCGAGGAATAAGAGGGGTAGAATTGTCCGACGGATAATTGGCCTAACAAACCGGAAGGCAGTTGAAACCGATCCGGTACGATTTTCTGTTCATGAGCGCAGAAAAATACGACTTAACGTACGTGCGGTATTGCGGTTAGATCTCAGATCGGCGTTTTTCTGACCGCTCGTTGCGTGACTGGGTCAAACGGGCGACTGGCTTTGACGCATCATCGGTCGGTTTGGGAACGTGGGTTTCGGCAATTCATTCGGACTAGAGATTGAATGACATAAGTACCCTCTATCATTTGCTCCGGTTCAACGGCGGTGTCTCAGGGGTAATATGGTAAACATAAAGAAAATAAATGTAAAAGCGCGGTAAAACGCAGTATGAACAAAACGCCGTTTCTTGGGGGTCGGCTGCGTTTGGTTGAACCACCTAACAACCACCACTCTCACACTTTCTCTATCCTTTTTTTTTATTAAATTAATAATTAATATTTACGTACTACATAATTATGTAACTCAAAACCATGGATTATGAACGCATAGTTATACTGTGTAATTCATAACCGTCGATATGTCATCAATTGAACCATAAACCTACGGTGCACAGAAAAATATATAATCTTACTGTAATATTAATGTTAGTTTATTATAGGATTGTATAATTTTATAGAATGTACTGAACATTTATTATTTTACTTGAGAATTTCGGAAGCTACCCGACCCACCTTTAATTTTTTAATTAGAAGAAATAATTTTGAAACCATTTTTTATCTCTAAATTATGGTGGCCGCTAAAGTATCAACGTTTGGAGTATAAAACTATAAATTATGCTTTGCTAATGCTTTTTCGGTTTTCTAATTTTCTTCCTCTCTTCATCTGTTTTTTTAACCTCTACAGTTCTCTCTCCTCTCCGCGGAAAATATCGCTTTCTCCGGCCGGAAACCGCCATTCGGCACTGCTTGTCAGCCTCCGTTTCTCGCCGGAAACAGATTGTGCGCTTTCTGTGGTGGATATTGTCAGACAGATTCTTGTATCCGTCTTACCTGGATACACCGCGGCTCGGATCTCCGCGTTTGACTCGGTCTGCCTCTGTTTCCGGCGTTTTCTTAAAATGTGGTGTGTCGTGTTCTCGGGTCTGGTTGTGGCTTGATTCCGCAGGTCGAGATTGTGATCTAAGGTTTCATATCTCCTGGATTTGGTTGGGTTGCTGCATTTGTTCTTTGTTTGTAAGGTAACTTCATAGCTGCCTTGATTGTTGACTCTTTTCCAAAAAAAAATCTTGATTGTTGACTAAGGAAAAAACCTCTCCTTTTTCCTTTCATCATCTCTCTCGGCGATCTGTTAGGGTTCTTCCGTTTTGGGGTTTTCTGTTTTTGGCACCAATGACGATATCCAGATACCCTGGATCTCGTGAGATCGAGATACTCTCACAAATAAACCCTGCTGGGCTTAAGCTTCAGGTACCCTAAAAAAATCCTGCTGGGGATCTTCGATTCTGTTAGGGACCGGGTTCTTCCATTTGTTTCTCTCGTTCTTCTTTTTTTTTTTTACGTCCACAGCTCTCTCTCCTCTCCGCAGAATAAAACGTTTTATCCGGCCGGAAACCGCCATTCGGCATTGTTTCCGGCGTTTTCTTACAATGTGGTGTGCCGTGTTCACGTGTGTGGTTGTGGCTTGGTTCCGCAGGTCGAGATCGTGATCTAGGGTTTCATATCTCCTGGATTTGGCTGGGTTGCTGCATTTGTTCTAGTGTTTTGGTTTTCGTGGAGTTGAAGAAAACGGAGGCCTATAGAGATAGATTGCGGAATGCCATGGTGAGTTGATGCCTTCCCTGCGGTTTCTCTGCAGTCAAATTTGTCTTATTTGAATTTTTTCACAATCAATGATTTCATGCAGTGATCACTGTTCCGTTGCTTTTCGGAAATTGTAGCCTGTTTCTTAATTTCGACCTCCCTAAGTTTATTGCTGGCGGATTTTGAAATGCTTTACATAACTGGAATTAGTAATTTCCAAGGGTGACTGTTTCCGTTTTCTGCATTTCGCTTTTCTGTTCTGGAGCATTATTTTAACGCTCTTTTTGATCAGGTGGAAGGGAGGGTCTGCTTGTCCAAAGAGGCTAAGAATGGTTTAGAATATCTGAAACGCAAAAGGCTTCAGCGACTGAGATCAGACTCTGTCTATGAAACAGTAGGTGTGACCAACACGATGACTAGGAGCGGAGGCGATGCGCTAAGAGCCTCGGCATCATGTGGCGTGAGATTTCAGTCAAATGTGAATGACTCAATCTCCAAATTGAATGGCGTATTGAAACACAAAGTGGAGAAGTTTGAACTTGATAACCTAGAATGGACCGAGAGGCTTCCAGAGTGTCCCGTCTACAGACCGACAAAGGATGAGTTCGAGGATCCTTTGAATTATTTGCAGAAGATAGCACCAGAGGCTTCTAAATATGGTATAACTGAATATGCAAGGACTAGTACGATCCGACACTAAAAGAAGATTATTTTCCATATTTCTAGTGATTTCCATGTGTTAGTTGAAGATGCAGATCGGTGTTAAGTTGAAGAGGCTTATAATGATAACCCATGTCTTGAGGCTTTTGGGTTACTTAAATGATGTTACTTTGAACTCGATTTTCTGGTCAGGTATTTGCAAGATTATTTCCCCTTTGATGGCAACAGTTCCCGCAGGAGTTGTGTTGATGAAAGAGAGAGTAAACTTTAAGTTCACTACCAGAGTACAACCTCTTCGACTTGCCGAGTGGGATTCTGAAGATAAAGTTACATTTTTCATGAGTGGGAGGTTTGTTATCCTACCTTGCAGAACTTAGTTGTATGACATTGATCAATATCAGTGGTTTTGATGAACTGTAACTACACAGGAACTATACATTTCGTGATTTCGAGAAAATGGCAAACAAGGTATTTGCTCGTAGATACTGTAGTGGCGGTTCTCTTTCCGAAGCTTTCTTGGAAAAGGAATTTTGGAGGGAAATTGCTTGTGGCAAGACAGAAACAGTTGAATATGCATGCGATGTAGATGGTAGCGCATTCTCAACTTCGCCAAGTGACCCATTAGGAAGCAGTAACTGGAACTTGAAGGTGATGATCTGACACAGCTCTTCTGCTATTCAGTTAAGCTCTAGGGAATCTGCTGCTTGATTTCTTAAATATGTTGGTAGTTATCTGCTTTTTCGTTTGTCTCAGAAAGTTTCACGGCTGCCAAAGTCCACTCTGCGCCTTCTTGAGACATCTATTCCGGTATCTGACAAGATGGACAATTATTATGTTGTTCTATAGCCCCTTTGTAAGTCTTCTCCCTTATAACTTGGATTTTGTTTTTTGGTTCAGGGAGTCACTGAACCAATGCTTTACATTGGGATGCTGTTCAGTATGTTTGCTTGGCATGTTGAGGATCATTATTTGTACAGGTAACTATAGTCAAGTGAATTTTAAATTGTACCTTGGTTACACATATTTTCACATCAAGCAAAGTTGGACTCAGTTTCCGCATGTTCAAGTAAAGTTGGACTCAGTGTCTTGATCTTTATTTTTACCTTTCCTCTTTCTCAAAAAACAGCATTAATTATCAACATTGTGGAGCATCAAAAACTTGGTATGGGATTCCAGGTTCTGCAGCTCTAAAATTTGAAAAGGTGGTCCGGGAGTGTGTGTACAGTGATGATATTCTGTCAACTATCGGAGAGGATGGAGCCTTTGATGTTCTTTTGGGGAAAACAACCCTATTTCCACCGAACATTCTGTTGGATCATGATGTGCCTGTTTACAGGGCCATGCAAAAGCCTGGGGAGTTTATTGTTACATTCCCTAGGGCATATCATGCTGGCTTCAGCCATGGTAAGACATTTTTGTCTGCGCTACTTCCAATTGGCCAGACAGCTTCAGACTGTAACATGACAGTGAGTTGTTGAAACTTTGTAGGCTTTAACTGCGGTGAGGCTGTGAATTTTGCGATGGGTGACTGGTTTCCCTTTGGGGCTATTGCCAGCCACCGCTATGCTCATCTTAACAGGGTTCCTTTGCTTCCTCATGAGGAATTGATTTGCAGGGAAGCAATGCTTTTGTACCCTAGTTCTGAACTCCAAGACCTGAACTTGTCACCTGCAGACTTGCTGGCACACCACTGCATCAAGGTTGCCTTCGTCAAACTGATACGTTTCCTTCACTGGGCTCGTTGGTCTTTCATGAAATCAAGATCTTGCACAGGCCTCGTGTCCAATACATATGGGACCACTGTATGCAGTTTGTGTAAACGGGATTGCTATTTGGCTTTTATCAACTGTGACTGTTTTGCACATCCTGTGTGCCTCCGCCATGGTAGTAAGCCTTTATTCTTCTATTCTCTCCAACCAGATGCTTTGCTAATATTTGTTTTAAGAGGGTTGAACTGCATCTTATCCAGATATCAAAACTCGAGACCTCCCATGTGGGAGTACTCGCACACTTTTCCTGAGGGAGGGCGTCGAAGGCATGGAAGTTGCTGCCAAGAAGTTTGAGGAAGAAGAGGGACTATCAGATGCCATTCAAGGGGATGAAGACTTGTATTCATACCCGATGTCAAACACATTTCCAGCCACTCAAGGAGATGGATACTCTCCTTATTCCACTATTGAATTCGACTTCACCACGGAACCGGATATGATATCTCGTGGCCATGCACACCATGAAGCGTGTCTTTCCTCCATTATTGATGATTATGAATGTGCAACAACTCCGGATTATGTCAGTTTTTTTTAAAAAAAATATTTCATGAATACGTTAATTCATTTATGAGGGAGTGAATGGTTTGTAACTGACTGCATCGTTTTCTGTTTTGGCTGAAGCAGGTACAGGACAGAGCGAACTTTAGCAAGCTGTCGGAAGAAGTAACATGCAGTAATTACAAGACTCCATTGTTCTCTGTGTTCCCAGAGGAACTTCCAAATTCCCATTCAGGAGGATCTCACCATGATAGACCTCAGGAGAGTGATGGTTCTGATTCAGAGGTCTTCAGGGTCAAACGCCGTTCTTCTTTGAACCAAGCATCGATCGTGGTGGACATGTCAGCGAGGAGTTCTGAGAATCAGGTGAGGACCACCGATCCCTAACGAAGCCTGAGTAACTTCTGTTTTGCACATTAAAAGATAAGTTTTGAAACAGGGGGGGTTCAGGCGACTGAAGAAATCCCAACATGAAACGGAAGGGTGTGAAAGTGTTTCAACCAACAGAGACAGCAGGCGACAGAAGCATTCAGAAGGGCCAAAGCGTCTAAAAGTGAAGGGCCCCAGTTTCAGTCCGAGCTGAAGGAACAAAGACAGACCCTCCTCCACTGACTCCATTTATTTTTTCAATCCTCTAACAAACAAAGGGAAGGAGACTCTAACTCCCCCCACCCCAACCCAACCCAACCCAACCCAACCAATTCCTTAGGAATTCTTTTGAAGAACCTACTATTCATTTTCTTTTGTTTTGGTAATTTCCCGGGAGACAATGTATACACACAAAAAGAGTATAGTAAGATTCCCATTGTAAATCGCTCTGTGATTTATGTATATTCGCATGATCTCAACGAACAAATGTTTCTCAAGAGATCAACCACATCGTTGATCCAATACCATGCAGCCATGATGATGATGATATGATGTTTTAGTGAATCTTCTCGACTAATGCTCTGATACTCGGGGTTGAAAGCGAGTGCTTCGTTGGGTCCTCGGTCAGTGCATGCCGCTCGACGTCGAATCTGAAGGGAGTTGTGCATTCTGGCTCGTCACTGATGCCGTGCTGCGGACAAATTCCCAGAAAACCATTGTTCAGATAAGAAAGCAAATCGGTCTTAAGAGTTAAAACACTCATCAATTACCAGCAATACAAAAAACCAAAGAGGAACAAACTCCACGGACAAAACTCGGTAGGACTTTCATACGCTAACCAATCACAGGACCAAATCCTTCCATGGAACCCTCTACTGCGAGTAATATTATACAAAATATGAAGAAAAAAACCACCAAAAGAGGAAATGGGATAAAACAAAACAGAGACGTACCTAGAGACGAAGAAGATGATGAGCTTCGGCGAGCTGAGTAGAGAAAGACAGAAACTCGAATACGGAGCTTACTTTGAAATCAAGCCTCTGAATTTCAGATCTGAAATGCAAAGCCGGTCTCAGCTATCTTCTTACATGCGTGCAATGCGAAGTCCGTCTCCGCTATCTTCATCTTCCTTATCCTTATGATCATCACCGCCCTGGCTTGATCCCAAGAGTAGGGGATGATCCTTAACAATGGACACCTCGTCCATTGGAATCGCATTCCTCTTGTAGTTCCAAACTAACATTGCTATGTAATCCTGGGGAGAGACAAGACCCTTTTCTCTGATACACCTCTTTTGCTCTTCCAGTGTTTTCGGGTCGTCAAGCCTTATGTATTCAAGCAAAGCCTTCTCGTGCTCAGGCCTCCAGTTACTCGGAAAAGGAGTGTAATCAGTCTCGGGAACAAGAGACATCCTGGTATACACAAGGCCGTCAATTGATTCAACCAGCCCCATCCTCAGCAGATTATGGTACTCAGGTGACTGCCCTTTCTTCTCCTTAAGAGGACGGCTCAGATTCCGAGCCCCGATCTTATACACCTTTGCTCGCGATCTGAGCTTGTACTTCGCCGCATAAAGTTTAGCAAGCGAACCCCTAATGATATAAGAACAGAAGTTCACAATCTTCTTCCTGTTGTCTGCATACCTATACCACTCGGCTACCGAGGTCAAGAACTTGTTCATTTGTGCATTGGTATGAGCCTGTGTAGCATGAAACATTCTAAAACATGGCTGAGGATCAGGATCCCTATCCCCTTTTACAAAATTCAGCTTTCTGAACTGTTTGATGCATTGTTTCAGACTTGCAGTCACAGAGAGAAGGGTTCCCACGCCCTTTTCACTTATAATTTTCCCACCTGTGGCTGTATACCTTAAGGTCGGATATACAACTCTGCGGCACAAAACATGGTCAAGAAACATTATACCTTTGGTTATATGCTCTACAGGTAGGTTTTCATTGTCGAGCTTGAGCATGTACTTCTGATCAACAAACTCGATCAGCTGCTTCCGCAATGTTGCAGCATCAGCCCTAGGTCCTCGAACTCCGATCAAAATATGACCCCCATATCTAACATAATCCATCTTCCTCGTTTTATCAGGTCCGCTTGTGGGAACAAATTCAGGCCAAGATGTGTTTCCCTGGTCCCCTTCTCCTTCCGGGCTATTCCAAATCACGTCACTCTTGGAAGGACGGTAAAACTCTTTGATCTTCCCCTCCATCCAACGATCTAGTTCATCGAGACATACATTGACCAAAAGAGGACTAAGAATCCCACAATGGCCCCAGGAAGGAACCTTCTCAGCCTCTTCAGGAGCAAACCCGAAAAAGGTCTCCAACCAATAAGGGTCGGGCTTCGGCTCGTCCTCCGCAAGAACCCTCTTCTTCTGATACTTCCTCTTCTTCTTCTTTTTCTTCTCACCGTCATCAACCTTACTCGTTATCACGGGTGTGACCAGAGCCGACTTAATCAAGTCAATCACTTTCTTGTCCCTGACATCCCTCATCAGAGCACTGATCACCAGTCCGACTTTCATTCCGTCCAAAACCACACTAAGATCTCCTTTAACGTACCACAAGTACCCAGCAAAGTTCCTGCGAATCACTCTCAAAACTGTATGAGCAGTTCTCCCGGGCCTGAACGCATACGACTTCTGCGAAAACCGTGCTTCATATATGGGCTCCAATATCATTAGAAGAACCTCCTGGACTATCCTATCCTGAAACGGGGTGGGTTGGGTAGTCGTCAAAAGCGCCCTAATCTTCCTCTTAGACAGAGACTCGTAATCTGTTTTATCCCTGGGCGATTTTATGTAGAAATCTAAACGAGCTCCCCACTTGAACCGATCATCGAGAACCGCATTTCTGAGAGCCAAAAGATCTTCTAAGGCAGACCTCTGAATGGAGCTACGCGGAACATAAGCACCCATCTCGTCACAGCACACCTTCTGGTACGACAAAACCCACAACTCAAACCTCCGAAGATATGAGGTCAAGTGGGTCGCTGTACGATCGGGTTCTCTGAAATTCTCAAGCCACATCTGGGAACAAATCGAAACACCGTCTTCCTTCAAAAGATTCGCCGGGTCATCAGGATCAGGCACTCGCCGCTGCGGGGGGAAATAAGAGAGAAATCGAAACAGCACAATCCCATTCGCGCGGAAGTTGAGAGGGTTTGCCTGGATGCAGTAAACGCTGCTACAAATGCGAGCAGGAGGAGGTCTCGGCAATTTGCAAGGACCTAAAACGAAGCTTCGACGCATTTGGTGATGCAAATGGAGATAATATGACGGGTAACTCATTTCATGATCATGAAAGCGCCGCAGAAGCGATCAAATCACATACGTACTCTATAAATAACGATGAAATCCGACGAGAAGGAAAAAACTTAGAGAAGTTCAGACCTGAATTCGGTGGCAGGGAGAAGAAGATAGAAAAGAGCTAGGGTTTTCTTTTAATTTTTAATAAGGGCATTTTGGTCTTTTACTTTAAACGCAATCAACCACTGCCGAAAGGTTACGCAGGTAAAAACGGTGTTTTGATTCTCCGAGTTTTGGTCGCTGTTGCGTTTCTCTACGATTTAACTGATCGGTTTTTCAATCACAATCGCTCCGTTTGCAAACGGAAACGGTTCAACCAGTCAACTCCTGGACAATTGTTCTTTAAAAATGTTTGATGAATAAATTAAATAGTTGCCGGGCTTTGATGCACGTGTCACCGTCTTACTGGGCCAAACTTGGACTAAGTTGTATATGGGCTTGATCACATCAAAATGCGTTGGGCTTGATTTCGGCCCATTAGTATCTGCCTACTGTTAGCGGAGATCAGTTTAATTCTGATTCAATTTGTACGCGTATGAAATATTCAAATAGATATATCGTTGTTCATCTAGCTTCTGAATCTGCCTTTGGAGGGTGGTGTATCTCTTTTTATATCATTGAGGTTTATTATCACATTGGTATGTATGCATGCATGCATTTCCCATCTGCCACGCGACAAAACCATGATGGTGAGGTATTAAAAGTAATAAGGGTTATTACCAACAGATTGATGCGTGGCCGAACTCAATCGGACAATTTACAATTCCGGGCATATTTCGATTAAACCTTTCATCTAGAATCTCCGTAATATAATATCTATAGTACCTTCATATAACAATGATCGCATTTTCATAGGAAAAAAAAAATTTAAATCCCACCCCAGACGCACTTATGATACATACATAGCTTTAAAAAAAACAAACAAACAACCACGCCTTCTTCTTCACTCCGCAAGACGTTTCTTTTATTATCATACGTTAAGATTGTTGAAGTGATCGCACCTACGCCTCACCTCTCCTTCTCCGTCGCCCTTGACGCCGACAGACCCGAGTTTCTCCATGGCACGAGCGAAATCGTTGAAGAAGGCTGTCTGATTTGCCGCGTACAGTTCCACGAACTTCCTCGTTCTATTGTCCTTGAACAGCACATGGTCCGACGCCAACAACCCCAACCCTCTCCTCAGATTCTTGTAGTACATATTGTCGAATTTCCCCGGCGTCATTACGTCGTTGAATGCCGCTATCGTGTCGTCCACTGTGTAATTCTTGCACAGATCCTTTAGCGCCGCCGCGAAACGAGGGTTGATCTCCTTGTCGGAACGCGACCCGAAGAGTCGGTCGCTGAACTCCTTGCAGTGGGAGAATCCGATGGTGTGAGCGCCGCTCAACGCGACCATCTCCCGGAGGGTGAAACCGTTCTTCGCGAACATTCCGAACATCTGGTCGACCGTCTGGTTCGGCATCGGCAGGTTTCCTCGTACCTTGTGGGCTCTGGACTCCAATCCGTCTTTCCGACCAAGCTTGACGTCGAAGTATGGGCCTCCGACCATGGTGACGAGGTCACGTGTAGCCTGGGCGAGGATGTCAGCGCACGAGACGACCCCCGGGCATGAGAGCTCAAGGGCCGTCTTGATTCGGGTGACGATGTCGAAGGCGTCCCCTGGGAGGGATTCGTTCAGTTCGTCGTCACGTTCCGCCGAGTTGAACGAGTTCGTCGCCACCATGACGGAGGCATCGCAACCTTCGAGGAAGCAGTCGTGGAAGAAGAGACGGAGGGTCCCGGCGGCGGTCGTCGGCTGTTGGAGCTGTTTGGTCGTGACGGTCTCCCGCACGATCTTGTTGAAATCGGGACACGTTTTCAGGTAATAGTCCGAGCGGAGGTAGACGACCGCCGACGAGAATGTCGGGGCCAAGACCAAGAAGGCGAGGAGAACGTGAGGAAAGACGCGGGAAATGGCCATCCTGAGCATTCGAATGGTATGTGGTGACGATGATGACATGTGATGTAATTAAAGACGGGGGATGATGAATTCAGAGAGGTCTACAGAGGGTAGACTTCTCTTTGTTCGTCTTCGTCGAGGGAGAAAGAGAGAGAGAGAGAGAGAGGTGAAGAGATTGTTATTTCATGGCTTTAAGCGGGAGGAGAGGGAGAGGGAGAGAGGGAGAGGAGTTATGTTTTACTTTATATGTACGTGTGGTTGGAGTTGCCTTTTGTTTTCCTATTTTTGTGTTTGCTCTATTTTTTGTATGGTTTTGATTCTCCTCTTTTTCTTTAATCCGTTTCAATTTTTTTTAAATTAAATTACCGGTTTCTATATTTTGACAGTAAAACAAGGAATGAGGTGATAGAAAAATCGGTATTTATCATCTTGTATGTGTGTGTATATATATATGAAATGTATTATTAGTCAGTATTGTACTCCACACCAAAACGTGGCTATACATATATGTAATAATCTGGAAATAAATTATTCTTTTGATGTTGATTGTTTTTTATATAATAGTACAATCTTTAATGATTTTGAATATATATATATATATTTTGTGTAAATGTCCAAAAAAAATCTTTACTCTCAATTTAAACCATATACTTATTTTTAACTTTAAAAACTCTATACTTTTAGATTATCTGTAAAAAACTCTATACTTTGCATATCATAGCAATTTAACCCTGTACTTATTTTTGTTCTAAAAAACTTTGTACTTTTAGATTATCATGTACTTTGCATATTATGACAATTTAGATCTTATATTTATTTTTTTATCTTAAAAATTCATGTACAATCATATTATCTCCAAAAAAATTTATGCACTAATTTAAATTTTATAGTCATTTTTTATCCTAAAAAATTCTGTACAATTAGATCATCTCCATAAAATTCTCGTACTTTGCATAAATAGATGAAATAATATGACACTCATGTTCCGCTTTATGTGAACAAGATGTGTCACATGGACAAAAACCAATAATATAATGGTTTTTTGTATTGTACTCAGATTCGGGACCGTGATCCTAAATTTTTACGGTTGTGTTAAATATTATCTTGCACGTGTATGATTTTAATTTGACTGTTAAAATGTTTTAAATTCTACTGTGTATTGGAATGAAAATTTCTAAAAAGTCCCATATTTTGGTTTTTGTAATTATATTGTTGCTTTTTGTTTATGTGACATATCCTGTTCACGGAAAGATGTATCAAATTGTACAAGTTTTTTTGATAAAAATGACTATAGGATTTAAATTGACATAATATAAAAAATATAAATTTTTTTGGAGATAATATGATTGTATATGGGTTTTTAAGATAGAAAATGAATATAAGATTTAAATTTTCATAATATGCAAAGTACATGGTTTTTTTTGAGATAATCTAAAAGTGTAGGGTTTTTTAGGATACAAAATAACTATAGGGTTTAAATTGTTATAATATGCAAAGTACAAGGTTAATTTAGAGATAATCTAAAAGTATAGGATTTTTTAGGATAAAAAATCAATATAGAGTTTAAAATTGAGATAAAATGAAAGTATAGGATTTTTTTGGCCATTTATCTATATTTTTTTTGATAATCTAATTAGATAAAAAATTATAAATAATATTTTGAATGGTAGTGGTTTTATTTTGAGTTTTTGGTTTTAGTTTTTAATTTCTGATTTTTGATTTTTGGTTTTTAAATTTTGGATTTTGGTTTTTGTAAATCCAAAAGAAAGTTTTTTAGTTTTTAGTTGATTTTTGTATGATAATGTCTTTCCAAATTTATAAGAAAATTATTTTTATAAAAACTTAATTATCATTTTTTTTTTGTTTTTAGATTTTAAAAACTCCAAAAGTCACTTCCTTTCAAGATTTATAAATTTATATCGTAATGGTTGATTTCAAATCTAGCGATTAGTTAAACAAGTGAACCTTCCATTTACAAAAAAAAAAATACCGATATATATATATATATTTGTAAAAATACCGAGTTTTATATTGCCACTTGACATGGTAAAATAGGAATATAACTAATATAAATTGCACTAGTTTATTCATTAATTAAATTTTCAAACAGAATAATAGCAACAATATCCAGATGCACACTGGTACGTTGGCATATTCCATTGAATAACTCGCGACAAATTGAAACATATGATTATTACTATTTGAACTTCTTAGTATAATCGCGTCCGTGTTATTTAGAACCTAATATTGGAGGCCCCGAAACATTCTAGGGAGTGTCAGTGAGACCAGAAGATGCTAAATTTAAGATTTTGAAAACCTTTCAACATCGCTTGGTACCTCACGTGCCGACGGGTCGGATGAATAATGAAGGCCCGATGTCACGTGACTAGGCGCGTGCACATTCCCTTTGTTTATATCCCACGCGCCCTTTCATTCTCCCCTTGAGCTTTTCTCTCTCTCCGCTCTCTCCTCCATTTCGTCGTCTTCGCCAACGTCTTACCCTAACCCTAACTCTTCCCAACTGCACGACAGACAACAAACTGAAGAGGAGAAGGGTCGAAGAGTGCTACGATCGTGACTAGGGAGCTCTACTTCCTCCTGATTTCCATGGATTCTCAACAGAGCAATCTCTTCGAGACAGCGTCGCAGCCCGACACGGCCGCCGACGCCTACACCTTTTTGGAATTCAATACGCAGGGCGACTCCGAATTCGACTACCCGGAGTTCCGATCACCTACTGCGTGGCCTACGCCGTCTGATTCCCTCTCCATCTCCGACCCCTCAGATCGCGGCGCCGGAGTTACTGCTGGAGATCACCACTCCGAGGCTTCGTCGCATTCTCCGCTGTCTCCTCCGGCGCCTGGAAGTGGCGCGAAGGGGGGACGCGGTGGAGGCGGTGGTGGTAGTAGCAGCAGCCAGGTTGATGCATTGGCGGCGGGGATGGGGAATTTAAACTTTGAGGAGACCGGCGATGATGACGCTTTCGATTATGGAAAAGGGAATTTCACAGAGCACGCATGCAAGTATTGTGGTATCTCGAACCCGGCTTGCGTGGTGAGGTGCAATGTGGCATCTTGTCGGAAGTGGTTCTGCAATTCAAGGGGAAACACATCTGGCTCTCATATTGTCAATCATCTGGTTAGTACATGATATAGGAACGTCGGTTCTCTTAGTTCTTCCTTTATCGCATCCTTTTTGTCTGGAAGTGCTTTATTTTCGGTGCAGTTCAACTAGAAAACTTGAACTAAGAATTGCTGGAGTTAGATATTGAAACTTGGACGTTTGTTCGGTGGCTTGTTTTTTCGTTGTTAAGATTGGTGCAAAGGCTTCTCCAGTTGATCTTGTGGCCTGGAGCATATGTGCTTTGCTATTATTCTAGGTTTTGGTCAAAATACTTGACCTTGTCTATATACTAAATGGGGTTCCTTTCATCGGTTCTTTTAAGGTTCGAGCAAAACACAAGGAAGTTTGTCTCCATAAAGACAGCCCGCTCGGGGAAACAATTCTTGAATGCTACAACTGTGGGTGTCGAAATGTCTTCCTCCTCGGCTTCATTTCAGCAAAGACAGAGAGTGTTGTTGTTCTTCTTTGTAGAGAACCTTGTCTAAATGTAAATGCCCTGAAGGATATGAACTGGGATCTAAGTCAATGGTGTCCTCTGATCGATGATAGGTGTTTCCTGCCGTGGCTTGTGAAGGTTAGTTTCTCTTTCCTCTTCTGTGTTGGTTGGGACTTCTCGTTTATGGCCTACTATAAATTATTGGCTTCTAGGTTCCATCTGAACAAGAACAGTTGAGGGCACGGCAAATCAGTGCACAGCAAATAAACAAGATAGAGGAACTATGGAAGAGCAATCCTGACGCTACTCTTGAAGATCTTGAAAAACCTGGTGTTGATGATGAACCCCAGTCTGTTCAATTGAAGTATGAAGACGCGTATCAGGTAATTAATGAGATTATCTTAAAGGTTCGAGTATCAATTTACTTCATCATGTCAGTGGATAGGTTGAGGTATCTGTTTGTGTTATGTTTTTATAGAATTCATTTGGTCATATCTCGTTCTTCTTTGTGCAGTATCAAAATGTGTTCGCTCCTCTTATCAAGCTTGAAGCAGATTATGACAAAGTAAGGATTGAATCATGCAATTTCCTTTTTTCTCGTCTAACTCAAACACGTGTTTCGTAGTTTTTCTTGTCTTCCTTTTTATAATCTATTTCATATGAAGTTGTAGGAGCTTATCATCTTGTTTATGTTGTAGATGATGAAAGAGTCTCAAAGCAAGGACAATGTCACAGTTCGCTGGGATATTGGTCTTAACAAGAAGCGTATTGCATTTTTTGTGTTCCCAAAGGTGGTTGAAACTTAACTTCTACACATTAAGCTTTGAGCATCACCATAATATGTTAACTTACTTTTGCATGCAGGAGGACAATGAATTGCGTTTAGTGCCAGGTGATGAACTCCGGCTGCGTTATTCAGGAGATGCAGTGCATCCAGCATGGCAGTCAGTTGGACATGTGGTATGGCTTTTTCTTGATTTTATATGGTCTGCTCTGTTAGTGGCAGGAACCTTGAATTGACCTTTTAGTTTCTTATGAATAATTATGTGCTTATTTTTGGTTTTTCAATCACCTTTTCCAGATCAAGCTAACCGCCCAAGAGGAGGTTGCTCTTGAGCTCCGGCCCAATCTGGTGAGTTTAGTGTCATTTTCTGCCTTGCTTTGGCATCAGCTTGTAAACCTATACTTAGCCTTATTTTCTCCTCCATGTAGGGAGTTCCAATTGATGTGAACCATGGGTTTAGCGTTGATTTTGTTTGGAAGAGTACAAGCTTTGACCGGATGCAGGGAGCAATGAAGGCTTTTGCAGTAGATGAAACGAGTGTGAGTGGGTATGATAGTCAACTGAAATCCTAGTTCCGTGCTGTTGATGCCACGCTCTTGTGGTTGCTGTACAATGATTGACCATTGGATTACTACTGTGTTTTTTTCTTGAAGCTATATTTACCACCACTTGCTGGGACATGAAGTTGAGGCTCAGATGGTACGCAACACACTACCTCGTCGTTTTGGAGCACCTGGTTCTCCGGAACTGAATGCTTCTCAGGTGCCATTATTCCCTCGCATCTCAATAGCAAGGCACAACGATATTACGGTTTACAGATCAATCTCTCAGTGGTGAAACCTTCTTAATTAATTGCTTTCATTTTGTGTCTTGGATAGGTTTTTGCGGTGAAGAGTGTCCTTCAAATGCCTATTAGTCTGATTCAAGGCCCTCCTGGTACTGGTAAAACTGTGACTTCTGCGGCAATTGTGTATCACATGGCCAAACAAGGCCAAGGACAGGTAAAGCTGACTTCTATTTCCTGTTGAGATACTTGTTTCAAGTTCTCCACCCCTTGATCTAAAATTTTTTACTGGGCAGGTTCTTGTTTGTGCCCCCAGTAATGTTGCTGTAGACCAACTAGCTGAAAAGATAAGTGCTACTGGTCTGAAGGTGAATAACTTACCTTTATTTTGTAGTTTTTCTACTTAAATTATTAGATGTGATGCCCCTGCTCTTCTTTCTTTTAAGTTGCTATCATCACATGTTTTATGAATATTTTTTGCAAAATCCTTATCAGCTATGCTGCTTTTTATTTTAAAACCTTTCCCTATTCTGGTTTCAGGTTGTTCGACTATGTGCAAAATCAAGGGAAGCTGTAAGTTCTCCCATTGAGCATTTGACCCTTCACTACCAGGTTAGCTAGCATGGTTGGACTTCCGGATTTCTGTCCATGTGTTTTTCTTTCTTCCATCTCAATTGTTTTGGATGACTGCGTACAGGTACGACATCTTGACACATCTGAGAAGAGTGAACTCCATAAGCTGCAGCAATTGAAAGATGAACAAGGTTAGACATGATAATTTAGATTCTTGTTTGTACCAGAGGTTTTCCTATTCTTCATCTGTCTTCCTGTTATTGAGTGTGTGAAAGAGATTTTATTTATTTTGCTGTCTGTCTTCGAACCTCGATGACATTTTTTTGAAGTGTGTCGATCTCTTGCTTTCAATGTACTCTTCTGTTTTTATTGTCAATAGGTGAACTGTCGAGTAGTGATGAGAAGAAATACAAAGCACTTAAACGAGCTACAGAACGTGAGATAACCCAGAGTGCTGATGTCATCTGCTGTACTTGTGTTGGTGCTGGGGATCCTCGGTTGTCAAATTTTAGATTTAGACAGGTTAGCAGCATTTATTTAATTTTAGATCATCTTTATTCTGTGGAAGCTGATGAATCTTTCTGCTCTAATAGGTCCTTATTGACGAGTCTACTCAAGCAACAGAACCTGAGTGTCTTATCCCTTTGGTTCTCGGTGCAAAACAGGTTTTAGGGGATTCTGAAGGAGCGAATTTGTTTTCTTTCTATGTTATCAGTTGCTCACAGAATTTTTTTTTGCATTAGGTTGTTCTTGTCGGCGATCATTGCCAGCTTGGTCCTGTTATTATGTGTAAGAAAGCAGCTCGTGCTGGCTTAGCACAGTCTCTGTTTGAACGGCTTGTGCTGCTTGGTGTTAAACCAATTAGGTTACAGGTGCTGCTTTATTCTCTCTGCTCTTTTTGAGTTTGCATCTTTCACCACTTGGTACTGTAGGAGGATATGTTAATTTGCCAAGGGTCTGTTTGCAGTCTGATGGTGCTGAGAAGCAGGCATTGGACAGAATATGGTATCTTTTACTGTCTAATGGTTTTGCACTTTATTGTTGTGTATTATTAATTTCAGGTTCAATACCGTATGCACCCAGCTTTGTCTGAGTTTCCTTCCAACAGTTTTTATGAAGGCACACTACAGAATGGAGTCACAATCAATGAAAGGCAAACATCAGGGATTGACTTTCCTTGGCCTGTGCCCAATCGTCCCATGTTTTTCTATGTTCAGGTATGAAAGCATTAACTTGGGATCAGTTCAGAATGATCCATCTGATCCAAGGACTACTGATTTGAACTGTCATGGCTATTTTACTTTACAGTTGGGACAAGAGGAGATCAGTGCTAGTGGAACATCGTACCTGAATCGAACTGAGGCCGCTAATGTTGAGAAGATTGTGACCACTTTCTTAAAGAGTGGAGTGGTTCCTGGCCAGGTTTGTCCACTAGGATTATTTACGGATACTACATGGATTCTTTGGTATCTGTCAAGGTTTTTAAATCATATTCATTGTTATCAGATTGGAGTTATAACCCCATATGAGGGACAGAGAGCGTACATTGTTAATTACATGTCAAGAAATGGTGCTCTCAGACAGCAACTTTACAAGGAAATTGAGGTACTATTGAGGTCTGTTTAAAAAATTAATTGAATCTTGCCCTTCATTTGTTAACAAGTTCTAATAATAACAGGTTGCGAGTGTTGATTCTTTTCAAGGGAGGGAAAAAGATTACATCATATTGTCCTGTGTGAGAAGCAATGAACATCAGGTTTGTGGGTGCTCTTTGTTTATAAAGCTCTGAATTATGTTTTTGTTTTTAATCAAGTTCAAGTTTTCTGTGTACCTTCTCTATACCATTATTTGTGTGTGTTGTGTTGCTTCTGGGAGAGGGAGACGCAATTTAGCACTTGGTAACTCCTGATTCTATGCTTTTAGGGCATTGGATTCCTTAATGATCCTCGGAGGCTGAATGTTGCCCTTACCCGAGCTCGTTATGGGATTGTTATTCTTGGAAACCCTAAGGTTCTTAGCAAACAACCACTGTGGAATGGCTTGCTGACACATTACAAGGTATTCTTTCTTTTGGCAGAAAAATTCTTTTGATAGATTGTTCGGTCTTCTACTGTGCTGCTCATTGGTACCATCTTTTGTTGCTAGAGCTTTCAGACGTACTCCTGGAGCTTCGAACTGAGTGAATAATACAAATGCATATTGTGTTAGTTGATACTAATTTGAGCAAATTTGCGTAATTTTCTTGAATGTCTAGGAACATGAGTGCTTGGTTGAGGGACCTCTGAATAATTTGAAACAGAGCATGGTGCAATTTCAGAAACCAAGAAAGGTATTAAATGAATTATGAATCCAATTTTCATCATCATTTCTTTAAGAGCTGATATTCAGAAAGCAATTTATATTCATTCCCTTTTCAACTGGTTGCCAGATTTACAGTGACCGGAGACTGTTTTATGGTGGTGGGGCTGGAATCATAGGAAACGGTAATTTTGGTGGTGTTAACTCGGGTAACCCTAATGCTGACAGGAGAGGTGGTCGTGGAAGGGGTATGTGACTGGTAGTTTTCTGCTGATTTTGGTTCTCCTTGACTATGAATATGAACTCCTGTTCTATTGTGTCAATTTTTCCTTGATCTTGTCAGCTGCTGGATCTTATCTGCCTCCTGGCCCTGCTAACGGTGTTAGACCTGGACTCCACCCAACTGGATATCCAATGCCTAGGGTACCACTTCCGCCATTTCCTGGTGGTCTGCCTTCTCAGCCATACGCCATTCCAGTGCGTGGGCCTGGAAATCACGGTTTTGGTGCTGGGCGTGGAAATCCAATCAGCAGTCACCTTCCTCACCAACAAGTGTCCCAGCAAAATGTTGGGACTATTGGCCCTAGTTTTAACTTTTCTCTGGAGAGTCCAAATAGCCAGCCTTCTGCGGGTGGACCACTAACTCAACCTGCATACGTAAATAATGTCCGTATCTCTGTTTCAAGTTCATGTCTATTCATTCAGTTGTATTCTCAACATATCTTTTCATGACTTTTGTTGTCTGTCCAGGGAAGCCAGATCTTCAGAGATGAATTTTCTATGGGCGGCATATCTCAGGTTTTGTCTCACCTGGAACTTCTACTGGACCTCTTTTTTTTGTGTGTTATTTGCTACGTAGGTATTCTGCGTGTTGTATTTGTGTTTATTATTCTATTGTTCTTCTATTGCAACTGCTGTCAGGATTTCTTGGGTGATGACGTTAAGAGCCAGGGATCTCATGTTCCATACAATGTGGCTGACTTTTCTGCGCAGGTATTCTGTTAGTAATGTGAACAATTCGGTCAATACTGTGCTAAATTGCAACCGCTCCATCTATACCAAAGATTGGGAAGAGGGGCTTTCGGGTTTTGCTGCTTTGTGACTGATACTCTCTCTCTTCTGTTTGGCTAAATATTTAGCTAGCTTTCTAAACCATAATTGTGTTGAACTGTTTATAGGGCTCACAGGGTGGATATGCTGTTGATTATGCCACACAAGGAGCCCATGGGGCATTTGCTGGGAACTTCCTAAACCAGAATTCTCAAGATGGTTGTTCTCGTTTTGGTGGAGGAAATGATTTCATGTCCCAGGTGATTCACTGTGATCTCACTTGGTTAACAATGAGCCTTATGGTTGTTTACCTTTCTCTGGGCTTTCTTTGTTTTGGCAGGAGTACATGGCACATGGGTCACAAGGTCTTTTTACCCAGGCTGGCTTTCCCAATGCCTCACAGGATAATGTCCAGCAGAATCAATATGGTGTGAGCAATCCTAGCCATCTTCAGTCTCAGGTCTAAACTGAAGAATGCTATTGTTGCCGAGTTATATACCAGACAATTTATTTATCTCACTTAACGGTGTTGCCGTTAATCTGAATTATTATGCACACCTGTTCTGCTGAAAATGGTACTTACAGGTCTATGTACCTTTGTTTCAGGGCGTGCTAAATTCACTCTACTCACAGCCTTTCTCACACTACAAAATGCACCCACTGAACCTTTCTGCTTCGCAGCAGTCTCAGCCTGGCCAGGGCTCTCAGAATCCGAAACTTCCCTACGATGGCTGAGGTGACAAACGTGACTTGGATGCAAATGGGTTATGGTCTTTGCAATTCAGCAACTTGATTTTTTGCTGTCTCGTGCTCCAACAAACGCCCTGTTACGGGTGTTTGCAAGGTCAGCCTGGTTCTGTGCCTTTTTTACCACCCTTGATAGAGATTTTATTCTCCTCTTGGAAATAACTCTTTTGGGAGTAGTGAGAGACTATGCTCGCAAACCCTTAAAAGAGGGGGGGAAAGGAACACGGGATGCAAAACAAGGGCTGACAAAGACAAGGGAATAACCCTATTACCTGAAATTTTACGTGGCGGCTTGGGAGAAGAGAAGGAATATGATGATGGTATGGGGGGAAGAGATCATTACAGGACATGAGTTAGCCGAAAGGGGTTAGGTCCATACGAAGGAAAGAGGCTCTGTAGCTATAGCCACCAATACACAATGTTGTTTTTCGGCTAAATAATAGGAGTTTTGTCATAAGAACCAGCATTTTGGCATATGCATATTACAAGGGCGTTCTCGAGGGACACCAAGAACAGAAAGATGCAGATAGCGAGAAACTAACGAACATTTAGGAAATCTTCAACCTAAGGCTTATGGGCCGACATTATTTGGTTTTACTATTTACTATATATTTGATTTTTTTTTCCTTTAAAATTCGAACAGAAAATCGTAAAATGGTTTCACGGCGTACTTGCCCGTCCTCTTAATATTTTAATGTGTGTCAATATTACAAGTTTCGATATATCCAATTTTTTTGGACGATGATTCATGGCAAAAGGCTCAACTGCTAGATATTCAAAATGTGATGAATGATTTCTAGCTGAACAAATAATGTACTAGTGGTGGACGTTTTAAAAGGGGTTTGGGAGTACCTCGTTTAGCAAACAAATATCCGAGATATACCTAAGATTGAGTGGTTTAACCGGTAAAAAAGTGAATAAAAGTGAATAAAGCTCTTTTTCAATATGAATTCGAATCTTTACTTGGGAAAAGTATTCACATAGACTTTTCCATTTTTCTAGGAGATGTAGTCGGAACAAAAGTCCGGTGAACTTTTAGATTATTAAAAAAAAACTATCTGAGGTATTTGAATATTAACGATGATGTGACCGGATATAAGAATGGTGAGATTTCGAACCCCGGATTCAGATTCGGATTACATTAAATGTATCATCTGACCAGCAATTTCCAAAAAGACCCAAAAGGGGTAGTCCCGTAATTATGTTTTATTATATGTAATATATTAATTTTAATATTTTTTCGGTTTAATAATCGGATAAAATATAAGTGAAAAAAGGCTAAAATACGAGACTAAAAAGAATAGTATTATTTTTTTTATTGTCTATGGTACATTACAGCTGTGCATATTATTTAAGCGTAGCTTCGACTCCATAACAGTCCCTCTCTCTCTCTCTCAAGAAAATAGACGGAGAGAGACGATCTCTTGACTCACACCGGAAGATCCAACCATCGTCAAAAGAAAAATCTCCTTTATTTTCTCTCTAGTTTTCTCACTTGCCAAACAGGGTTCGCTCCTTTTCACTCTCTCCTCGCCTTTTCCATTTTCCTTCAATTATTTACTCAGTCCTTTCTTTTCTTAGCGTCTCTCGGAATTCCTGTGACCCGACTCATGACTCTTTTTTTCTTGTAATATCTGATATTTACTACTTCCTCTTTCATCGAATTTTGGTTCTGATTTTCTGTTTGCGGTGTTGCAGAAGGTAATTTGCTCTGATTTTACATGAGAAAACGCATTCGCCGGTGAAATTCCGGGCAGGGGATAGTTTTGAAGTTAGATTAGTTTCTTCTCTAAAAGAACCAACCTTATCGATCGAGTTTCGTGGGCAGGTGTCTTTTGGTTTTCTGAATTGAGATTTGACTGGTTTTACTTCCGTCGGTGATGCTCGGACACCTGTTCTTGTGTGCCCTTCTGTTGCATGTATATGGAACCGCGCTCTGTCTTAGCTCATCGAGCTACAGGGTCACTGAGGTAGGGAGGCAAGTGGATCAAACCAGATCTAGACATTTCAGTTCCGGGGGTTGGGTGAATTGTCAAGACCTAGAGGGTGTTGGATCATTGGATACGACGTGCACGCTGAATTCAAATCTGCGTTTTAATTCTGATATTTATGTGAATGGAACGGGAAGTCTAAAGATACTTGCCCATGTCTTGGTTGAGTGCCCATTTGAAGGATGTATGATTACCTTTAATGTGTCTGGAAATATTCATGTGGGTCAGTCAGCCGGTATAGTTGCTGGTTCCGTGGTTCTTTCTGGTACCAATTTGACAGTAGAGAGCAATTCCTCTGTCTATACAACGGCATTGGGTGGACCGCCTCCTTCACAGACCAGTGGAACACCGGTTGGTTATGATGGAGCTGGTGGAGGGCATGGAGGAAGGGGGGCTTCCTGCGTGAAAAGCAAAAAGTCAAGTTTCTGGGGCGGTGATGTTTATGCATGGTCGACTTTGGATAAACCGTGGAGCTATGGGAGCAAAGGCGGTGGTACGTCAGCTACAAAGAAAACGGGGGGTAATGGTGGTGGTCGCATCAAACTCCAATTTAAGGACACGATATACTTAAATGGAACGGTTGCTTCTGATGGTGGTGACAGAGGGGAGGATGGAGGTGGAGGGTCTGGGGGAAGCATCCATGCTCTTGCAGTGAAGCTGTAAGTTCATGCTACCTCTTTCAACTTGTCTCATAGCAGTTCAGAGAAAAATAAGCATAGTTGTGTTCTTTTCTTACTAAGGAAATATGAATCACTGTTACAGTTTTTAGATTTGTCATAACAAAATTTTGTAGGCAATTAATGAGAAGGGACTGACTAGAATTTTTCACTGCCAATAAACCAAGGGATTTTGGTTGGACTTGCTAATTTCACTTCATCTGATTTTTCTCATGTCTTTTGAATCTGTAGAAAGGGTTTTGGAACAATATCTTCCACAGGTGGGAGGGGATGGGGTGGAGGTGGTGGAGGGAGGATCTGTCTGGACTGCTACAGCATACAAGAAGATATTAAAGTTACTGTACATGGTTGGCATTGATCTCATCCTTGCTTAAATTTCAGTTCTTATTCAAGTCATGTAGATTTCATACAGTACTATGTAACTTGTCTCTCTTTTCCACTAACAGATATGAGTTTGCTGAATTCTTGATGCAACTCAGTGGTTTGCGGTTTTCTGAAGTAAATCACCCTTTGTTACCAAGAAACTCGATAATGTCCTTTCTTATATCTTATGGATATGTCCTCCGTCTTAGGCCGCATATTGACTATTCTTAATGTGTCATCTGCATTCAAGTAGATGGTGTAGAATGAGATGATGTTCAAGCTAAGGCATGTGATGTTCTTGTGTTTGATGCCAGGTGGTTCAAGTATTGGGTGCCCTGAGAATGCTGGAGCAGCTGGTACATACTTCAATGCAAATTTGGTTAGTTTGAGGGTTGGAAATGACAACATGACTACAGAGACAGAGACTCCTTTGCTTGATTTTCCTACAAGGCCTCTTTGGTCAAACATTTACGTGGAGAACAATGCAAAAGTTTTGGTACCTCTGCTTTGGACCAGAATGCAGGTTATATAATTTGTTGAATCTTTTTTCATTGTCCTTGTTCTTTTATGATCCAGTAACACTCTTGTTAATCTGAGTACCCTCTAAATTTTTTTTTCATAATGATTCTCTTGTTAATCTGACAACATGATTACAGAGATGGCGTAACTCTCTTGCTTTCCATGGATATTATTATTGTTATTTTTATTTAGCTGACCTTTGTTTGGTTTTCTGATTGATGTTTGCTTTTAAATAGAAACTTCCTCAATCTTTTTCTTGAAGTATGCAATTTGATGGTGCATTCCTTCTGATATCAATACAACTTTCTGATTGTGAAGGTCAGAGGTCAGATCAGTCTATATCGTGGAAGCAGCATTGTCTTTGGGTTATCTAATTTTCCCATTTCAGAATTTGAGCTTGTCGCAGAAGAACTTTTGATGAGTGATTCCATTATCAAGGCATGTTACGAAGGAAAACCTCAGTGTCAATCTCTCCCTCTCTCTACATTTTCTTTACTTTTATCTTTTTTTTTTCTTGTTGTCTCCCTGTTCCTCTTCTTCTGTTTTTTCTTTGCTATTAATTGATATTTTTCTCTCATTGAAGGTTTTTGGTGCATTTCGAGTGGTTACAAAGATGCTGCTTATGTTGAACTCTATGATTCAAATTGATGGCGAAGGAAATACTGTTGTGACTTCCTCTATCCTTGAAGTCCGTAATCTTGCAGTTCTAACGGTAAGACTGCAAATTGTATCATTGTCTTGTTCTTCAGCTGGTTGGAAGTGGAACTCTTTGTAACTCCTCCTCCTTGCAGAAAAATTCCGTCATTACTTCTAATGCTAATTTGGGCGTATACGGCCAAGGGATGTTGAAGCTGACTGGCTTAGGGGATGCAATTAAAGGCCAGCGACTTTCTTTATCACAGTTTTACAACATAACTGTAAGACATTAATATGCTAACATAATAAGGATTTCTTTTTTTGACTTTCCTATTTTACTGTAATATCATGTGATTCATATTTCTGCATTTCTTTTATGAGTGTTTATTTGCTGTATTATGTGAAACATTTTGTGTTCTATTTGATGGGATCCATTCAACAACTTGTCACATCTGTAGGTCGGACCAGGTTCTTTACTTCAGGCACCACTTAATGATGATGCAAGCAGAAATGCGTGAGTATGAATTCCTGTACCGTTATATCATCTCTGAGAAGTTTCTCAGTGCTGAACTTGAATGTCAGAATGTTTTTAGTTCTATAAAGTATAAAGTTATGTTTCTCTCTACAGCGTTACTCAGACCCTTTGCGAGAGCAGTACATGCCCAATAGACTTAATAAGTCCTCCAGATGATTGCCATGTCAATTATACACTGTCCTTTTCCCTTCAGGTAAGACCCATAAATTTTGTACATATGGTGAAATAGATTTTGTGTTGTGTACACTATTGTACATATGTCGAAAAGGATCAGGAGTGGTATAAATGAGTAAGAGAAGAAGTGAAGATATTTTTTAGGAGAAGATGGTAATAGGAATGGCATTGGTTCTACCAGATGAATTTTTTTTCTTTCAACCTGCTTTTTTATTTAATGGTGCTATATAGAAAATTATTTTTCTCAATTGGAATTTATTCTAAAATTAGAAATCCTGCCTTTGATGCTTTCATTCATGAACATAAGAGACTGCTTTCTATATAAAATTTTATTTCTAACTGTTGAACCTTCTTGATAATTCTGAGAAAGTGTTACACTTCCAGATATGTCGCGTTGAAGACATTCTTGTGAGTGGCCTTGTCAAAGGAAGTATAATCCAAATTCACAGGGCAAGGACAGTCGTAATTGCTAATGATGGTTTGATATCTTCATCTGGGTTAGGTATTTAATTCAAAAACTTCTTGTAGATGGTGATTTGTCTTTTTGCTGCTGCAGGTTTCTCTGTGTTTGAACCTTCCTAGCATTTTGAACAAGATTAATGTACTTTCTGCTTCTAATACTTAGAAGATTCCCATGACAGGTTGCAGTGGTGGCATTGGAAAGGGGCATTATTCAAATGGGGCTGGTAGTGGTGCTGGGCATGGAGGGAGAGGGGGCTCAGGTTTTTTCAATGGAAGAGTCTGCAATGGTGGTCATACTTACGGGGATCCTGACTTTCCCTGTGAGCTTGGCAGTGGGGCTGAGGGTCCAGATAAATCATATAGGGATGTGATTGGCGGAGGGATGATTGGTAAGTGCTATTACAGTTCACTTGTGAAACTAGGTATTCTTCGTGTTTTTGTATGTAACTTTCTCTTAATCATATTTTTCTGAGGAGCCAAAAGCCAATTATTCACTTTTAACTATCTGTATATTTATTTGACATTTCTGTCACATTCATTGGTTTATTTTCCACTTTTTTCATTTTCAGTAATTGGTTCCATCCATTTTCCCCTGTCCATACTTAATCTGCATGGATCTCTAAGTGCTGATGGACAAAGCTTTGGAAAGGCAATATCAAGCCGCAATGGATATTTGGTCGGTGGACTTGGTGGAGGATCTGGTGGGACAATTCTTCTTTTCCTTCAGATGCTTGAACTCTCAAAAAATTCATCTCTGTCAGTTCGAGGGGGCAATGGTGGTCCTCTCGGAGGTGGTGGCGGTGGAGGTGGGAGAGTTCATTTTCACTGGGACATGATACACATTGGTGACGAGTATTTTCCTGTTGCAACTATTAAGGGTTCAATTGACAGTAGGTATGCAGTATTATCATGATAAATGCGTCTGTTATCTTTTCATGCTTTCTAGTATCATGAGTGGACTATAGAGATGCACAATGCTTCGCAGGTAATTAATTACTTGTCTTCCGATTTCCGCAGAGGAGGTGCAGGAGAAAATGGGGGTCGTTTCGGGGAAGAGGGCACAATTACTGGGAAAAAGTGTCCAAAGGGACTCTATGGTACATATTGCCTTGTAAGTTTTTAGCCTATTTTGCCATAGTTGCTAGACACTGGCGATTGCAGCAATTTAGAGGTCCTAGCCATTTCCATATCCCCTCATTCCAGCAAAAAAAAAAAAGTCACAAAATAGGCAGACTGGAACCAAAACTCTTTCGGATCATCTTTGCATAACTCTGTCTTGTGTGAATGCC